AACTTCTATGGTTACCTTTCCATAATAAAAAGACATCATCTAGATATTGCCTCGTTTAATTATGCAACTATAGAAAGGGTTATTAGCAGAATAAACAAACTTATCATCAAAATTGCCCATATATAAATTGGCAATTTCTGGGGCCATTGAGGATCCCATTGCAATGCCTTTAATTTGCAAATATATCATTAAATTAGAAGAAGTTGTTCATGAGCACTATTTCAGCTAGAGATAAGAAATGTGCTGGGGGATTCCTATTATTTCTCCTGTCTGGAGAATGTTGGTGTAAAGTGATATAACATATAGTGCAACCAAAAGAATTTTCATGTACTCTCTAGTTTGTTAATAAAATCAGTAATGTCTCATTTATGATGGCATTAAGTACACAAATGGTCTGTGGAAAAGCCAATATATTTGGATAGACTGTCCAGGATAGAATTGCAACCAGATGTAATAGGTCTACCTGGAGGAGGAAAAATGTTTTTATATATTTTTGGTAGAATGTAGAATCCTGGGGTTCTGAGGTTCGCATTAGCAAGGAAATCTCTTTCCTTAGGTGTAATGTACCCCATAATAAGGCCTTCCATGGACCTGTTTTGTTTTAACATGAGGATTAATATAATGGATTATTGAGTTGCCTCATAACCTCCAATTCATTATCTGACCTATTTAGAATAATAACACCACCCTTATCTGCTTCTTTGATTATGTTATTAGGGTTGCTAGATAGTTTATTTAATGGCCGGTCTCTCTTGGTTATTCAAATTCACCCATCTAGATTTTAAATTACATTCCAGTTTTTCTAAATCACTCATTACTCTGTCCTTTGTGTAGGAGAGGTGTTGTGCCCGGGGGGGGGGGGGGGGGGTTATAACGTTTGGTACAATACGAAAAGGAGTACACTTTGGGTTACATTGTTGCATGCTGTCTTTAAAAAAATAATCTTAGTCTTAAGGTTCTAACAGGTTTGAAAATGTCCACCCTTGAGGTCACTGGGTCATAACGTGGAGTCAGAACTTAAGATGTCTTTATTAAGGATCCATAGTTCTTGTTTTGTAGGGGTTCAGTCAGATAAGTTGTAAACTAATGTATCCGTCTCAACTTTGGTTGGTAATGTGTCTTCTCTTGACTGTTTTTTTTCTTTTGGTCAATAGTATACTTCATATGGCCTGGGGTTGTGCATCTTTGTACGAAAAAGTTGTTGAAGAGGTGGATTTATTGGAACTATTGTCCCTGTAGTATTATTATCCTCTATGGCACTAGAAATACATTGTTCATTTGGAGGATCTGAAGAATCAACAAAGGATACTCTCCTTATACAGTTGTGTGATCTTTTAAACATCCATGGATAAACTCTGTTGCATTTATAATCTGTTTTATCCCATTGGAATTTTTAAAATTTCAGATCCTTAAAGACTAACAGGTTTGTAACATTCATTTAGGCAAAAGAGAGATTCTTTAGATTTGAGCCAAAACCTGTTGGTTGCTGGACAGTTACCTTCTCTCTCTTACATATGGGGATCTTTTCTTTCTCCTTTATTTTCCTTCATACAATCTTAAGGACAGAATAAGCTGAATGGTTTTGTATGTGGTTGGTATTTTACTATACAACCTGAAATTTGACTTTTAACACAATTTTTTATTTATATAATTTTAACTAAATCATTATTTGTGAGAACTCAGTAATGTAATTGCTGTATTAATAAAGGGTGGACAATGTCAAGTGAGCACCAGTTTGCCTCTGGTGCCCCTCTGTAAATATAGATAACAAAATGTTTAGTGCATTCTCTTGGCAATGCACACACCATTCTGTGCAGTCACCATTTGTGGACTTCTTTCATGGTTGACAGAGTCAGGAGAAGGAAGTGAGGTTTCCCAGATGTCAGGAAAGAATGGAATCACTTGGCAGCAGTGAAGCTTGGGCTTTCCTGTATTTGCCTTCAAGTAACTTAAGCTATCAAGCACTCCTGAGCTGGCTGTAGCACCTGAAGTGGACTTGTGTATTTGCCAGGCCTGCTGCTACAAGATGGCAACTGGAGAGGTTTAGCTCATTCCAGGTCTAGCATATTAAAAACCTACGGGGACCCTATGAATTAATGACCTCCAAAACATTCTATTGTTAACAGGCTTACTCAAGTCTTGTAAACTGAATGCCACGGCTTCCTTTATTGAGTCAGTCCATCTCATGTTGGGTCTTCCACTTTTCCTAGCATTATTGTCTTTTCCAGTGACTCTAGTCTTCTCATGATGTGACCAAAAGTACAGTAGCCTCAGCTTGGCCATTCTAGCCTAGGGAGAGTTCAGGCTTGATTTGATCTAGAACCTTCTTATTTGTCTTTTAGGCAGTCCGTGGTATTCATGAAACTCTCCTCCAACACCAGATTTCAAATGAATCAATTTTCTTCCTGTCAGCTTTCTTCACTGTCCAACTTTCACACCCATATAAGTATGGTATGAAATATCTTGACCTTGGTTGCCAATGATACATGCTTATACTTTATGATCTTTTCTAGCTCTTTCATGGATGCCCCTGTCAGTCTCCTTCTGATTCCTTGGTTAATGTTTCCCTTTTAGTCACAGAACAGAAAAGCCAAAGAATAGAAAATCTTGAATAATTTCAATTTCTTCGTCAACCTTTTGGTTGTGTAATTCCTCTGTAGTCATTACTTCTTGTTCTTGATGTTGAGTTTAATCCTACTTTGGTACTTTCTGCTTTAATCTTCATCAGTTCATCATCACTCATTTCAAGTGTTCACTATTTTCTGTCAGTAATGTGGTGTCATCTGCATGTCTCAGATTGTAAATGTTCCTTCTACCAATTTTCACTCCACCATTTAAGTCTTAATTTATGATATGTTCTGCATATAGATTGAAAAGATAGGGAGACAAAAGACATCCTTGTTTGACACCTTTGCCAATTGAACACCATTCTGTTTCTCCATATTCTGTCCTAACAGTGGCCTCTTGTCCAGAGTATAGTGCATCAAAACAATCAGACACTGCAGCATGCCCATTTCTTTTAAGCCAGCCGTAGCTTTCCATGATCTACACAGTCAAAAGTTTTACTGTAATCTGAAACACAAGCTAATTTTCTTAAATTTTCTTATATGCTCCAGTAACCACTGTAAATTTGCAATACTGTGTATAGTGCCTTTTCCTTTTCTGAATCCAGCTAGAACATCTGTTATTTTTTGGTTCATATAAGGTACATATTTGTTGGCATATTCTTGTTAAGGTTTTGATGGACTGTAGCTGTATTGATATTTATTTATTTATTCCGCTTTTATCCCGCCCTTCCGCCTAAGTGGCTCATCTACTCCTAGTGATTTGTTTCTTCAATTGCTCTCAGTGAAGGATTAACTTCACTTTCTAAAATTGCAAGTGATTCTTCAAAATATTCTTCTTTGAAGAAATCTGTCATCCTTTCATCTCTTCTGTAAAGTTCTTCAATGTATTGTTCTCATATTTTCTTTATTTTGTCCTGTTCAGCATGCCTAGCTGCGCTTTAATTTCCCCCTCATTTCTTGAATCTTGTGGAACAGATCTCTTGTTCTTCCTTGTGGTTGTTCTCGCCTGTTTCTTTTCACTGGTTATTATAATAGCTCTTTTTGTCTCTGTGTGCCAGTTGTTGGAATGCTGCGTTTTCACTTCTGATTCTATTTCTGTCACTTTTACTTCTCATCAATCTTTTAACAGTTTCAAAAGTTTCATCAATCATCCATTGAGGCTTTTCATTTATTTTGGCTACAGGAATAGTCTCTGCACATTCATGACCTTGAGGCTATGTTTGTTGTGACATGATCTCCATGGGGCTTTCCTTACCCAAGCATTCGCAACTTAAGCTGGTGCAGCAACCTGCCTCCTGATGGACATGACTTGCTTTTCAACCCACCCAGTGCTAGTATTCAGGACATCCAGGACCTTCTCTTCATCTTCCAAACATAGTTCTAATATTGGACTTAAAGAGGAGCTTACTGTAGGGGTAGTAGGGTTATTTTTTATATTGTCCATGGTTGATGAAACTTGTAATGCATGTAACACTAAGACAGAATTGTTCTGTCTGGAGAGTTAGTCATGACTGAAAAGAGTTAAGATGTAAATGCCATCGTGGATTTTCAAAATGGCTGTATTTCTTTTCCAGAACCTTCTCTCTATCCTACATTTTAATGCCACCCTCCTTTCAAGGAGCTCAGGGCAGCACACATGGATCTCCATTCCTCTGTTTTATCCTCACTGTTACCTTGTGAGGTAACTTAGGCTAAGAGAGAGTGATTGGCTCAGGGTCACTCAGCAAGCTTCTATGGCAGAGTAGAAATCTGAGCTTACCCTGTACTATACAACACATATCACAAAAATAATATCACAATGCCAAGTTTAATACTTATATCAGAATGTGAATCAATGTTATGAAATTCATATTTAACTGTTCCACTGTTTAGGCAGCCATAGTTTACCTTCCTGTCTGTTTTCCAAAATTCCAATTTGAGTAATTTATAGACAAGCCCTAAGACTCTGTTTGGGAGCTGATTTTTGACTGGTAGAATTAAGATTTAATTCATTTTTAAACATAATTAGCTCTGTAACACTTGCATGAGGGGACAGAAATGTAAGTATGTGCATGTAGTATTTTCCCATAAAATGGCAGTTAAATACAACATTGTTAGTAGAGGACCCTCCCATTTCTTGTAGGTATAAATTCATTGGTGCTTAGATCTCCATATGTTTAACATTTTAAATTGAGAATTGAGTTTTTCCTTGCTACCTCAACTTTACATACTCTTTTCGTATTTATGAGAAAACCTTTATTATGTACAAGATTTTTATTCCCTTCATAGCAATAATATATTGCATAACTCTTAAAGGCAAAAGAACTTTATTGAGTGCTCATAATTGTGTACGTTATAGATAATGCAGTTAATTCCTTAAATTTCAAATAATAGGTTTAAGATATATAGTTATTCCTTGAAATCTCATTTAAAATCTCAATTTCTGTTTTCCAGGTAGCCTCTTTGAAGCCACACATTGTGTGCCAGTGTTTCATTAGCAGAGCCTCCATCTTTAAGTCACAGCAGGATACCAGCAACCTTTTCGAACTACTTCAGTATCCATATTCTACTCCGTCATGGCCTCAATCTTTCATTCTTTTCATGTTTTTGTAACTGGGATAACAAAGCAACCAAATCAGTTCCTTTATTTTAAATCAGAATAGTCATGTTCAGCAGCAAGGACAGTATGCAGTTAATCTGGTAACCACTGTAAAAGAACAGATTTTATCTTTATGATTGTATTTTCCCACATCAATGTATACATGCTGGCTCTTTGTTTCATCTTCAGTTAAACAAGAAAAACATAAACATGGTTAGAAGCCTTTTGTCCTTTTTGGAGGGAGCTCTGAAGGGAAACCCTTCCCCCTTTTGTACAGGACCAAGAAATTACCAAATTTTAGTGAATCCATTAATTCTCGTCTGTTCTGGGACTGCCGCCCCCCAATTTGTGATTCCTTTCATTAGGTAAAGATGGTAAATTTCCAAACATTTTGATCTGAATCAGATGCAGTCTCACTGTACTTTGCTGTAAGAACCCCATTGGTTTTCCTGTGATGCTTGGTGTCTAGTCCAGAGCAAGTATGTGAATGTGAAAGGACTTGTGTTTGATACCAAGGTTTTCAGACATTTTACTTTTTAAACTGCAGTCTCCTTCATCACCCCCCCCCCCCCCCCCCCCCCGCAGCATTCAGCCTGGCAGTTCTGCCTAGTAATTAAAATATATATATATATTTCAAGAGCAAATGCTATCAAGAAAGGCTTTGTGATAGTCTCATATTATAACAAAGCTGAGCAGTGATTTGTAAGTTTCTTTGAGTCACAAGGGACGGCAGAATATAAATGTTTTAATCAATAAAAGCATGTATGTCAGAGGCATAGGGAATACATCATTCCAGCTTGAGTGGTAGAGGTTAGTTTTCATATGGGTTTGTGTAGCCTCTGGGATAGTCTATTGAGAAGAGGAACAGGGTGAGGAGGGGAGTATATATAAATATCCACCCTCGTAGCCCTTACTTTGAAGAGCCCATCCAGCATTCCAGCTAAAGCAGATGCAATTGAAATTCTAGTACATTGTCTCCCTGACCTATGTGGCTTTTATATGTTTACCCAACCAAGGACAATTGTCCTGTAGTGGAGGGAGAGGGTGCATGTGGACTTGATTTTATTTATTCTTGGACTTGATCTTATTCCCTTTAAAGAGAGAGCTTCCACTCATACAACCTACTCATAGACTTCCTAACTGCATGTATCTTCCCCTTTCCCCTTCCAATGACAATCCACAGCCAGGTGAGTGAACCCACTCCTTTATTTTCCCATCTGCTCTCTACTCCCTCTGAGTAACCATCATCAAGGAGGAAAGGAAAGTGGTTATAATGGCTGGGAAATGCCAATTATCCCCTCCTAAACTTCCATCCTGCATCTCCAGGAAAGGAAAGTGGTTATAATGGCTGGGAACACGCCAGTTATCCCCCTCCTAAACTTCCATCCTGCATCAATTCTGAAAATAGGATGTCCAAAAAGTCTCTTTACCAGACATCACATTCCCGATTGGAATGCCGCAGTCAGATACTTTGGCAGTTGGGTTCCCTTAGGTCAGGAGTAGTTCTGGGAATTACCAAGATGCAGAATATGTGCCATGTAGTCCTGTCTGTGCATCATCTTATACAACAGTTTTTAAGAGGAAAGATGCATATGGTCACATTGGTCTGTAATTAAAGCAAAAAACAAAAGTCATATAAAAAGGCTTGATAAAAGGTCTTGCAGGGCTTTTGTTTTTGAATGGTTAAGGAAGTGCTTTAATCTACTTAATTTGTCATTTGCTAGCTACTTAATACATGTGTTGAGTTACATTTCTTTCAAAAGGTCTACAGTTGTCACCATGATATCTATTTCCATTCCTTAGTGTAATGCAAACAATCTCTCCCCCACCACCTATATTTTCAATTTATTTTGTTTCTGCTTTCAAAAGGGAAGATTGTCAAGAGCATACAGCTACGTACACTGATCTTTGCAGTTCATACACTAAAACCTCACAGATACCATTTGAAACGGACATGACCTGTGCGTTCCCCTTATCCTCAAAGAACCAGGCTTTTGAGTATGAAGTTATCGTAGTCATGTTTCTTAATGAGTGGTACAGAACTGAACACTTCATAGGTAGTCATCACAAGCACACCAAGAGACTGTGCTATAAATGTTTATAAAGAACCTGTTGATGTGTTTGACTCAGGCTGAATAATCACTTCTACTGCAGTTCGGTAACTATGCTGTGGAGTTTTTAAATTAATGTGACCAGTTTATTATTGAGATGTGGCCATGTTTCCTTGAAGACAAGCTAAGTCCAGTGTGTGCAGTTTTCTTTAAAAGTGCATTTCCTCCTCAAAGACTGATGGGGCTGCTTCGTCGTGAATGGAGCCTCTCAATCTCCCCAGCATCTTTACAGTCAATCTACAAATAAGGCGCACTTACTGTAACTGTTAACCAACAGAATCAGCATTTCTTTTGTAAATCTTAAAACAACAATTGTATTTGTGTCTACTTAACTGTGACTACTGTTCAAACTTTTATTCAGAAGTCTTTTTATAGGTTTTATTAGGAAAATCATTCCATATTTAGGTAAAAAAGTGTCTCAATCTTATGTATATACGTTATTAATATGTACATATTTAGCTATTTTTTAAATTACTATGTTCTTAATAAAACCAAGAAGGGACTAGTTGTGAAATGGTGCATAAAATTGTGTTGTGTTTATCAATCTCTGGGAATCCTTCTTTGTCAACAATACAATAAATTGCTCTAATTCAGCAGGTGTCTTTGGTCTGTGTGTATTTTAGACACTCAGTGCAGCAAAAGTGTACTCTTCTTTATCTCAACCTTGATCGAGTAATTGGAAGCTGGAAGTTCCTCACTGCACAACTCAGTTGGTGCTGTGCTGTGGGGTGCTGCCACAATCCATGCAGTGTGCCTTCAGAGGGAACAGCCTGGTCCTGTGGTGCATTTAGAGTACCATTGATATCAATGTGTGGATGAAGTTAGGTACAAAGTACCAGGGGTCACTTAGTAGAAAAAGAGCTGCAGGAGCTCATTAGCATAACTTATTCACATATGCCACACCCCCTGACATCACTGGAAGAATGCACCAGCCCCTCTGACAGGCAGAAGCACCTAGGATCCATTCTTTCCCCCCTCTCCCTTCCCTTCACCTCCAACTCGAGCGAAGGAAAAGGGGAGGGCGAGGATCCCAGGTGCTTCTGCGTGACAGAGGTGCTGGCGTGCCCACAGCCAGCCTGGGTGAATTATAGAATCATAGACTCATAGAGTGGAAAGGGACCTCCAGGCGGCGCTCCGGGATTGACTTTGCCGCCGCCTGCTTGGGTTTCACTTCGCTGGTGAGCGCCGAGCAAATATGCAGAAGTACCAGCTGGTCTAGTCCCAGGGAGCCGGCGGCTGCGCTCCGGAGGAGCCGCCAAGCCAACCGACCGGGCCCCCCGCGCCTCTCCGCCAGCCAGAGGGACCCCGACCGGTGGCTTCCCCCCCCCCGCCCTCCCCGAGGGATGGTGCATATCTCCCCGGCCCAAGGAGCGGGGCTGGGGCTCCTTCGCAGCACCGCTGAGGCGCAGTACGGGCGAAGGACGCGATGAGGACCGAGGCCGGCGTTTGGCTCCTCGGCTTGTGCTACCTGGTCGCCGCGGTCGCGGAGGAAGCTGAGATCCCCCAAGAGGTGATAGAAAGGCTGGCACACAGCGAGATCCACAGCATCCGTGACCTGCAGCGCCTCCTGGAGATTGACTCCGTAGGGTACGACGATGCCTCGGAAACCAACTTGATACTGCATGGCGTTCACTCCATAAAACACGCACAAGATAATCGCCCCAGACCCGTTCGTAGGAAAAGAAGCATCGAGGAAGCCATTCCTGCCGTCTGCAAAACCCGAACCGTCATCTACGAGATACCTCGGAGCCAGATCGATCCCACGTCGGCAAACTTCCTGATATGGCCGCCGTGTGTGGAGGTGAAACGCTGCACGGGCTGCTGCAACACCAGCAGTGTGAAATGCCAGCCGTCGCGGATACACCACAGAAGCGTCAAGCGAGCTTTTGGAAGCAAGATCCTTAATGGTGACATTTTGTTATGTCAATCTAAATTGATTGTGTCAGTCTACCGCCAACCCAGCGGGTTCGAAAGCGCCGATTAACACCTTTGCGCAAGTAGATGAATGGGTACCTACCTTAGAGGGTAAAGGGCACCCTCCCCCATCGAGGGGGTTGCTGGAGTGTCAAAGACTGGCGGAGAGGAGAGGCGGCGAGTAAGCGGCTGGAAGATGGCGTCCCGGTACAGCTCAAACGACGGAAGCAAACGGCAGCGGAGAGGCGGAGTAAAACGACGTGGGGAAAGCGGACGGCGCAGGCGCGGCGGAGCCGGAAGGACAGAGCTGCAGCCGCGCCTGCCTCTGCATCATGACCCTGGTATTCCTTGGAGGTCTCCCATTCAAGTACCCACCAGGTCTGACTCTTCCTGGCTTTCGAGACCTGATGAGATCGGGCTAACCTGGGCCGTCCAGGACGGGCCTTTGCCTGTCCTTCTTAATGTCTCCCAACCATTATCGTTAGTTGTGGTGGTCATACTTGGCCGTGATTGGCACTACCCTCAGATGCTCTACCCTCAGAGCCAGTTTGGTGTAGTCGTTAGGAGCACAGACTCCAATCTGGGAGAACCGGGTTTGATTCCCCACTCCTCCACTTGCACCTGGTGCTGCATGCTCAGTCCAAGTTGTCAAACGCTTGGACTGAGAGAACTTGAACAGCTCCAAGAGAACTTGTGACTGACCCAGGGTCACACCAGCAGCTGCATGTGGAAAAGTGGGGATCAAACCCAGTTCTCCCAGATTACAGTCCACGCTCCTAACCACTACACCTAACCGACTGCTCGGATCCAGCAGCACTCTTGTGTTACCATCAGGGCCCTCTTTCTCCACTGTCCTTCCTGTGTGGCTTCCCGTGTTGTTCCCGTGTTGGTTACTCCCCTGAGCCCTGTATTTTCAGGGAAAGCGGTCTATACATTTAAATTATAAATAAAATAAATACATAAACAGAGCAGCCAAGAACCCCACGACAGAATAAACACCCACTCTGTGTGTGTGTGTGTGGGGGGGCACTTTGTGCCAGAAAAGGGAACGGTCGCGATAGAAAAGAAATAGGTATTTCTTGGAGGTTATGATAACATCACCTAGAAGCAGGCCAGAATGTTATCAGGGCTTCTTTGCAACTATGGAAACCTACAGCCTGACTCAACGCCAGGAAGGACTCTTGGCCCGTCAGCACCAGCTTGCTTAGAGAAACCGGCTTGCGGCTGCAGCATTCTACAACGAATGGAGGGAAGAAATGTCTTCCCACCGTGAAGATACAGACCGCTCTCAGAGTGATCTTGGTGAGCAAAACAAAGAGCGATCATTAAGAAGAGGAGCCTTCCCCCAAAGTCCCCCAAAGTCCAGCTGTGCCGTTCAGCTCTTGACCTTCTCATGGGCAGGGTTCCCAGCTTCCCTGGCAGGAACACTATTTTAAGAAATCTCTCACAATTATGCAGCCATAGCAGGCAGGAGGGAAGGAGGCAAATACCTCCAGCACCAGAGACTTGTAGAGGAAGAGTCAAACTTTAGGGACTCACCCGTGCACCAGAGGGCCAAGGCAGCAGGAGGCAAGAAGCCTGGGCGAGCTGGGCTCCTCCATGCCTGGCAGAAGATGAGGTGCAGAGGCAAGCAGAAGAGGCACTCAGCCAGCTGCACAAGCTGTGTGCAAAGAAACTCCCACCGCCCCAAGCTTCAGGGCTGCCTCGTTAAAGGAGTGGAGGCCAGATTCGCAAATGAGAAAAAGCAAGCCCACGGTTCATGGGTCACATTTTGGGCTGTGGAGTTCCTGCGCTTTTGGTTTTGCTTTATGCCAATCCGCCTCCCAAGACTGTCCAGGTGCTCCAACCTGAGGGCTGCTGGGGGCGGGGCTCGAGTGCTCATTACTTGTGGAGCTGAGGCTCAATGTCTCCAGCTGCTCCGCCACCTTCCCTTCCCTTGCTTTGCTCGGGGAGCCTGAGCTAGCCGGCTGCTGGAGAGAAGGAGAGGCGGTTTAAACCACCTTCCCTTCCCTTGGCTTGCTCAGGATCCCCACAGCTGCAGAGAGCCCAAGCAAGCCGGCTGCTGGAGGGATGTGCATTCGGTTCGTCTGAACCAAATGCACCCCCGAAAATGGCCCATTCGGGCCCCTTTCAGGCTGCTGCGGGCCGATTCAGATTCTCTGATCTGAATCTGCTTCCTGCAGTTCGGCCCCATTATATCCTACGGGCCGTTGAAGTCAATAGCGAAAACATAGGGTATATTCTGGGGGTTGGAGGGGGGGAGGGTTGGAGGGAGAAGCTCCAAAATCGCAGGGTAGCTGCTGGAGCCAAGATACCCGCTTGGACATCACACTTGAGAGGTGGAATTTGCCCCTACGAGTCCAAGGCCACCACCCCGGGGCTCAGGGAGGCAGGAAAACACCCCCCCCTCGCGGGTGTCCCAATGTATGGCTGGTGAGAGCAAGGGGCGGGCTTATGTGCTTGCGGATCATACGGGGGAGAGGAGAATGATGCTTTGGTTCCCACTGCAGGGAAAGACTGCCCTTTCCCTAGGCAGAGGCTGGGGGGGGGGTGTAAACCTGAAGACAGACAGGCAGATAAAGGTAGGCTGATGGTCGCCTGGAAAGGACATAGGGTTGCCAACTCCAGGTTGGAAAATTCCAGGATATTTTAGGGATGCAGCCTGCTGTGGGTGGGGTCTGAGGAGGAGGAGGAAGAGGGGGACCTCAGACAGATACAATGCCATACTCCCCACCCTCCAAACAAGCTGTTGCCAGTCTCCAGGTGACAGCTGGAGAGCACTTAAAGCTCTGGTGCTAATTTAAAGTGTTACAATGTATCGACAGAGTAGTGTTTTGGAAAATCTTTAGGAATTGTTTGGTGCATTGCCAGCTTTAGGTATGGAAATTCCTGGAGACTTGAGGGGTGGAGCCTGGGTAACAATTGTTGCCACTCTCCAGGTGAGGGCTAGAGATCACTCAAAATTACAACTGCTCTTCAGGTAGCACAGATCAGTCCCTCTGGAGAAAACGGTGGACTCTGTCATTATACCCTGCTGAGGTCGCCACAGCAAACTGACACTGTTTGCCCAAAGCCAGAGCACTCTCCCAGAGCCTCTTTCTAGCTCCCGTTGTATTTATTTCCACAACGGGCCTTATTTCTAGTTATTCTATATAGGTGGTATGATTCCTGGTGTTGGAAATGGCTGCTTAGGGAGGTGAAGATCCACAATGCACTGGATCCATCCCTGTCCCTGAAAGAAGGAGTGAAGCAGCTTTCTTGGAGGCCAAGAGTGTCATCTGCTGGTGCAAGGAGCTGCCACAGACGGAGTCCTCTTGCTCTGGCAGGCCTAATGTTCTTCTGGTGCTACTTCTGCCCCCCCCCCCCAGCTCTCTCTGAGTCAGGGTGGCTTGCTGACCCAAGCAGCTAGGAGATCGTCTCTTGCTGGTTGTAGACTCTTTGCTTTGCTCCCTCTGTGCCTCAGTCTGCCCTCAACTGTACAGGAGTTAAATTCTGTACAGCTTCTATTGTAGATGGCCCTGTTCATTGAAGAGCGTTTGTACAGAAGAACAGAGAAAAATTAGATACATTATTGACAGAAAAGATGCCACCAACTTGTCTGAGATGAAATCCAGCCAATCAGAATGTATATTTACACTCAATTCTTAATAAAATAAAAAATAGTACTAAATACTGATGTGCCCTGGAGTCTAATTTTAATTGACTTGAGTGCTCTTTTTTATAATCTTTGCTAAAAAGGTTAAGTTCTGCTTCTATGGAAACCACACATCAGCCAGAGAAGCCAATATCTGAAATGGAGGGTGGGTTCCTAGTTGCTCATTGCAGCCAGACATATTTCTCCTGGAAGCATTCTGTAGTTATCATTTGTCAGCTGCAAAGAATTAAAATGCTGAAGTGGAGTTATCTGATCAAAGCAACAATTTTAGATTAAATTGTTTTAAAGCATAGGTGCCTCTGGCAGCCATCCTGAGCATACCTGGGGGGGGGAGTCCCCGTCAGATCAGGGGGGGGATGTAATTTCCAAGTGTCCATTCACAGGACTGGGTACCACTTCTGTGAGTTGTTTCATATTAGGAAACCAATTGCAGGTATTGTATCTGCAATTATATAAGAGGCTGGAAACTTTTGATATACAAAGGCAGTGAGGATGAATTCATAAGCCCCCTAGTTCAAAAGATAATTGCATAGACGGTGGTCCGCTGTTGAACATTCACAGACTGCAGTGGGAAAGTTCTGTATTTATTTACGTGTGTGTGTGTTTGTATGTCTGTGTTTGTGTGTGTATGTGTAAAATAGCACAACTTTAATTCGTATTACGTAGTAAAAATTTTCATTAAAAGGTGTGTTTCAGCCTAATGGCCTTCCTCAGTGGTACACATAAATAAAATACACACCATGAAGTATAGTCAATCACAATTTCAAATAGATGTTGTTGTTTTTTAATTTAAGATTTTTTATTAATTTCCATAAGAAAGGGTAAAGTAGGGATGGGACAGGGTATGGGTTATGACATTCGGGAAACAGTAGAGCACGGAGATTCTCTCTAACAATTTAAGCCACTTAATTCAAATTCTACAAGTAGACATAACATCTTTTCCTTTGTTTAACACATGTTTTCTGATTGTCATAATTCTTGCTTTCAGAGTTTCTCTCTCTAGTCTCTTGCTTGGGTCCATATATGAAATGGTTTCCATACTGCTTCCAGTTTCCATCATAATCTTTTAGCCTTTCCGATAAAATGTCCATTTCAGCTACTTCCAAAGTCTTTTCAATCAGTTCATCATCTGTTGGCACCTGGTTCACTTTCCAATATTTTGCATACAAAATTCTTGCTGCTGTTACCACATGTATAATTATATATTTTTGTTTCTTATCTAAACATTCCAGTAATATAATTAACAAAAAAGAGTTCAGGTTTATATGGTACATTCGACTTCAGTATTTTCTGCAACCACTCATTAATCTTGTTCCAGTACTCTTTTGCTAATACACAAGTCCACCACATATGATAAAAACTACTCTCTTTATCATGACATTTCCAGCATTTAATAGGCATTCCTTTAGTCATCT